TTTTTTTTTTTTTTCTTTAATTTTTTATGAATCCTAATCATTTCCTTAATTTTTTATTAACCTTTTGTTGGACGACGTGACATGTGGTCCAAATAATAATAGGGTTGAAAGTCCTCCACTCCTCACTTTTCCCTCTCTGACAACTTTTTTGCTAAATCTATAATATGTTTTGTTTGTTTTAATTGGATGAATTTTAGTCATCTACCATAAAATCAACACCACAAAATTAAGACGGATTCACAAATACAAACAAGATTAGGGAACAACTATTAAGCTGAATTTACAGTCAAACGGTCAAATAAGCTGAACAACTTGACTCTAGTAGGGACTTAAGTGTTCGAATGCAAAATTATTTGTAAGTTTTTAAAATCATATTCATAAATGAAATTAAAGCTTATTTTATATTATATTTTTTTGTTTTGTATCCAAATTTATCAAGTTTGAAAGAAAGAATAATCTGTATAATCAAGAAAATAAAAAATGAAAAGAATAAGAAAATACCAACATTGATGAAATTAAATGATGACGAAGACGAGATTGCCCTTCACAAATCCCAAGATGTGTACAGTGAGATTGTGGCCACAAGGGAAAAAAAATAATATAACACACTAATTATCATTGGTCCCTTGATCTGATTCCCTATAATGTAATAAAGTACAAATTCCCACAAGTTAATAAAGAAACATATTTTTGTCAAAAAAAAGAAAAAAATAAAGAAACATATTTGTATGTATTTTTCTAAGAGGCGTCTTCATTTGTGCCACAACCCACACATTGTTGTTCTTCTTATCAGGGTAAATAATTGACAGTAGATAAATTAGCTGATAAATTATAAATAAATTTTGAGATTATAATTGAAAATTTATGATTAGTGAATGTAAAAAGTTACGTGATACAATAACAGTGTTTGGTAAATTAGTTCATTAATCATATGAGATAAAAATTTCACTGAACTTTAAAGATAAAAAATAAAAATTATGTAAAGAACTTATCAGATAACCTTCAATTTTTAAAAAACTCATTCTACCCAATTAATTTTATTTGAATACAATAAAGTTATAAGCTTGCTAACATAGAAACACCCTCTTAGTAACATTATTGACTTTTATTCATTGAGACATAACAAGAAGCTAATCACAATATTTAATTATTAAAATCTTTTATTTTATTGATCAAGCCTATTATTGACCAAACCCCACCTCTATCTGTCTCATAATTTTTCACACTATCCTAGTACTAAACAATGATTAAATACAACACATACTAATCATCAACTTGATAAAACACATTAAACAAGCATACTAATGAATAGGTCAACTTNTATCATCAAATCATGCACATTACATTCATACCTAGGGATGAGCAATGATGCGGTTCCGTGAAAAATCGCCGCAAAAAATGAAAATCTAACCTAGGAAAAAAATAATCGAACCGCACCGTAATATATATATATAAAAAAAAAGAGACCGAACCGAACTGGGCCAGAGTGCACGATTCGGCTTGGTATTCGATTTTAATCTGATTTTTTTATACATTTTCTTCAATCTTGTGCAGTTCGGTGAAAAACCGCACGAAACTGAAAAAAAATCGAAAACCAAACTTATAAAAATTGTAACCGCACTGCACCAAAATGTATATATAAAAAAAAGCAAACTGAAGCCAAACTGAATATTCTTTTACATAAAAAAAAAACTAACTGAGCCGCATCAAATTGCACGGTTTGATTCGATTTTTAGGTTTCGTCTTAATTTTGCTCACCTCTATCCATACCATATGAACTAAACGATAAAAAGTTTCAATGAAAGGTCGATCCTGCAGGTTAAGGCATTGTCCTTACTAAGTTTTTTATTATCCTATTATACACTCACATCCATACCTACATGAATATGTGTTGATAAAACGGTAAAATAATATATTTTTTTATTATTAGATCACACACGGTGACTCGATGAGTAATGCCCTCACATGCTTTTCACAATTTGATTTGCACATATATACACATGCCCACATGGATGTATATGAAATCAATAATGAAAAAGTATGTGGAGACGGTGACCCTACATATATTTTCAAATTTCCCAATCACATACTTTTATGCATTCATATCAGTATTTATAAAAGTGCGCGTTAATTCAATAATAAAAATACCGTAAAAACTCATTTGCATGAATTTTCCTACCATTATGTCTCCTAGGCCTCCTGATAGGGGACAATGTAAATATACACGCAATCCCTTTTATATATAATTTCAGAATGCGCTGAGCCTATGTGGCAGGCTCGAGCACTTCGTAATCCTACATGACGAAAAATCATGCTTCGTAATTTGGTTTGGACAAAAAATAAAGTTATTCAAAACCAATAATTTTAGGTTCGGACATTCCATAAATATTGAAAAGCTAACTTGGGCAATTCTATAATACTTTGACTAATATAACCCTTAATTTGTTTTGTAAACTTACTTACTGTTATTTATATACTATAGCCCTAAATTTTGTTTTTGGAATCTCTCATTTTCTTTAAATTGAATGTTACGATCAAAATAGAATTTCTCACTTTTCCAAATTTAATATTATTTATTTATTCTTAACTTCTCATATAACTTCTATGAAATCAAATATTTCTTAATCCCGGTTTGTTACATTCACATTCTATATATATAAAATAATAATTACATTTATCTGTATAATAAAAATTAAATTACTTATCAAGTTTAATTAAAAATATTAAATTATTTATAAACTAAATAATTTATCTATCTGGACCATTCTATATTGTGATATAAATTATTTAAACTAACTTATTTACAAAAAAATAGTCAATTGATATAAATTAAAAAAATATATAATATAAGATGGTAAATCGTGTAAGTGATGGTATCAATTTAAATATAAATAATATTTTTTTAAAAAAAATATTTAAAAACTAAAACAAGTTTTGTTGTTATTATTATTTAATTTAAATATAATTTTCTTTAACATGTACGTGTACTCGTTCTATAATTACACATCTAATCTAATTAATACTAATTGTCACCATCTTTCTACCCTTCGCTGTGCACCCACTAGGACTTCCTTTTGCCGAGGTACGCTAATCATCAACTTCATGTTCTGCTTTCCTTATTATCTGCAAAAATTGTCCAATCTGCTGTTCAATCCCAAATGAGCTTTTGCTGTTGTGGGTTTTTTTGGTGTTTTCCAAGTTTCCGTGATCCTTTTCTCAGTTTGAGTTCCTCTGGATTTATAATAATCACTGCATTTCTTGTTCTTATGTAGCTGATGTTTTATTTGGCTTATTAAGTTGGATTAAAGTTTGGATTTTGGGCGAAAAAGATCGAGCCCCAGAAAAGAAAACAAAAAAAAAAAGAAGAAAATGGACACAAGTTTCCACGGATTCTTGAATCCTTCCTCCCAGCTTCAAATGGGGATTCAATCCGGCGAGTCGCCGGCACTGGAATTCGATTTTCCGATCATCGACGAATTAGGGATTCACCTGCTCCCAAACACGCCCTTACCCACCTCACTCTCTGCAATCGATCAAGACTGCGACTTTTCCAACTCCCCTTTGCTTAGATACATAAACGAGATGCTAATGGAGGAGGATATGGAAAACCAAACCCACATGCTCCAAGAATCCCTCCATTTTCAGGCCAAAGAGAAGTCCTTTTACGAGGCCATCGGCAAACGGTACCCGCCCTCTCCCGGTCCTAACCCGGCCCGTTGTCTCGAGAGCCCGGATTACGATTCTAGCAACAACCCGTACAGCTGGTCTTCTAGTAGCAGCGATTGTGGTGGGTACTTGATCCACATAGTCAATTCGGGTCGGGTCAATGGGCGCAACCCGTTTACTGGATTCAATTCGGGTATTCTTGATATTGTTGGCGAGCCTGTAAAAGAATCCGATTTTCGAGCTAAGAGAAATCGGCACAATGTCGATAATGAACCGGAATTGGAAAACGAGGAAAGAAGTAGTAAAATACGAGCCCGGGACTCCGATATCGATAAGCTCACGGGCGAATTCGACTCGATGCTGCTCAACTCCATGGGTGAAGGTCGTGAGAAATACGGTGCTTACCGTGAGGAGTTAAAAAATGCTCTAAAAAAGGATAAGCAGCCTCGAGCGGCGGCAAAAACCCGAAAGGCTCGTGCGGCCAAGAAGCAGAGCAAGAAAAAGGAAGTGATCGACTTGCGGGCCCTTCTCATCAGCTGCGCGCAGGCCATTGCAGTCGATGACACTCACAACGCGAACGAGCTTCTGAAAAAGATTCGGGAGCACTCGTCGCCAGGTGGCGACCCCGGCCAGAGGCTGGCCCACTATTTCGCGGATGCCCTCGAGGCCCGTTTGGCCGGCGGGCGAAGCCCGATTTACAAACCGATCGCCGCTCGAAAAACAAAGGCCTCCGATTACCTTCGGGCCTACTACACGTCTCTTGCGTCGGCCCCATTTAAAAAAATCTCGAATTTCGCATCAATTCGTACGATAATCAACAAGTCCCGAACGGCCGACAAAGTCCACGTCATCGATTTCGGTATATTGTACGGATTCCAATGGCCTACCTTCATCCAGCGCCTCGCGAAGCGGGAGAACGGGCCTCCGAGGGTTAAGATCACGGGCATCGATTTCCCTCAACCGGGCTTCAGGCCTGCGGAGCGGGTCGAGGATACGGGCCGGAGGCTGGCCCGTTACGCAGAGAAATTCGGTGTACCGTTTGAGTACAACGCGATTGCTCGAAAATGGGAGAATATCCGGCCCAAAGATCTGAAAATCGAGAAGGATGAGTATTTGGCCGTGACATGCATGTACCGAGGCAAAAACTTGCCGGACGAGTCGGTTATGGGACAGAGCTGCTCACGGACTAAGGTTCTCGATTTAATCCGGAAAATAAAACCGGACATATTTATCCATGGTGTGGTGAACGGGACTTACGGGGCCCCGTTTTTCTTGACCCGGTTTCGTGAGGTTCTTTACCATTTTTCGGCTCTGTTCGACATGTTGGAAGCGTGCGTGCCTCGTGAAATTACCGAAAGGACCCTCATTGAAAAAGAGATGTTTGGGAAGGAGACTTTCAATGTGGTGGCTTGTGAGGGTTGGGAGAGGGTGGAGAGGCCCGAGACGTATAAGCAGTGGCAGGTTCGTAATATGAGGGCCGGGTTTGAACAGGTGGCGTTCGACCGGGAGATTGTTCGGGACGCGATGGAGAAGGTGAAGATGTACTTCCACAAGGATTTTCTGATCAACGAGCAGAGTAAGTGGGTTTTGCTCGGGTGGAGAGGGAGGATAGTTAACGCGATTTCGTGCTGGAAACCAGTTTGAGGAGAAACTAAGGAAGAAGTTCTGAGTTTTGCTGCTGTCTGCAGAAAACTTATTCAGCTGTATATCTGTTTTTGATCATTCAGATTTCTGTAGTTTGTTGATGTGCTTAGGCAAATTGGTATAAAAAAAGATAAAATAAAAAAAAATTCTCTTCTTTTATTGTTGAAAAAGATAAACAAAATTGGTCAGTAGTTTGTATTGATCATTCAGCTGTAAATCTTTCATTGTTCGACATTTCAGCCTGAATGTATGCATATACTGTATGTTGAAAAAGTATATTGGTCTAACTGTTAAACCTATCTAACACAAGCCTTACTGCATTATGGCCTAAAAATGCAATTTTTAAGGAAATGATAAGAAGAGATCATCACAGACCTGAAAATTAGATGCATAAATGCAATATGAAACAGATTTCCCAATACAATGTTTCCCTTCAGTACATATAATAGTTACAATTTGAGCAGCAAAGAGCGATTTCGGATTGTAAACCTTCTGCTGCATATAAACTTCAATTAAACCATTCTTCAGCCATTAAAGACTCACAAATCAACCGACACAAATTCACAGCTCGGGTGGACTCGGCTCGTCAAACCACCTTGGGGGATCAAAACCAGACCCTCCTGTCGAGTATGAAACCACCGAATTGATCAGAATAAATAAGGGCAAGCGATAGAGGTAATTTACTCCTGTCGAGTATGAAACCACTAAAGCAAATGGATTGCATGATTTCGAACAATCCTCGGCCATCAATTTCGGCAAAACAATACGCGTTACAACTCACATCAACACCATCTATTATATAAAGATTGAGGTAATTGACCAAGAGGATTGCAATGAGAAATACATAGAACCATTTAATATCAACTGAGAACTTTGAAAGAAAACGAATTGCAAGATTTTGCGCAATCCTCTGCCATCAATTTTCGCAAAACAATACGCATTACAACTCACATCAACACAATCTATTATGGTTATGTTTGGTAAGCAAATAAGCTAACTTATAGCTTATAAGCTTCTTGTATTCAAATAAGTTTCGTCTGGTAGGAAAAAGCTCGAGCTTATCTCATAAGCTTCTTAATTTTGCCAAACACTTTTATAGCTTTTCAGCCATAAGTAATAAGCTATCAGCTATAACCTCAAAATTCACTTAAAAGATATAAGGTTTACCAAACATAGCCTATAAAAAGATTGGGAAATTTTACCAAGAGGATTGCAACCACAACTACTTAGAATCATTTAGTATCAACTGAGAAGTACGAAAGAAAACGAATTGCACGATTTCGTGCAAATTCTCTGCCATCAAACAACATAGAACCATTTAATATCAATAGAGAAGTACGAAAAGAAAATCTAATTGCATCATTTCGTGCAAATTCTCTGCCATCAATTCCCGCAAAACAATACCCAGAGACTAAGGTAAAATTTACCAAGAGGATTGCAACGACACAGACGGCAAACGGTCAACACGCTACCCTTCACGGCACCATATTTTTTATAGGCAATCATCGAGTATTCACTGCAAGTTGGGACATACCGGCAGCTTCTCGGCAACAATGGCGATATTTCTCCTGTTATGTTTTGCAGTAAATAAGGATTGATATTAACAGCAAGACGCCCCTAAAGTTACAAGCTTTGCTAAAAAGGGACTCACTTTTGTAGAACCTGAGCACACACAGTGCTGCTTGGACGCCTAGACTATAACCTTCATCATCTGAAGAATTAAAGACAATTTTTTTGTAAAAAAAGAAGTACTGCAACAAGACACGAAATTAGGGAAATTCTACGTTACCCTCTGAACTGTTTTGAGCTGGGTCGTCTTCTGAACTGGTTCGAACCAAGGAACGACGTCGTCGCAGCTTTCGTTCCTGGAAAAGATAAGGTCATGAACAGATTTTCCAGAAACAAATTGGAATGTAAAGGAAGTCGTCAAGAAATTACGCTGATGGAAGATGAGAAGAATGGGTAATTTTCAGGGAATCGCGTGGGAATTTGTGTCCGGTTGCAGGTGAAATTAGAGTTTATGCGACGAGAAAATGATTCTTGGGAGATTTTACAGTTAAGAGATGGAGCTAACGCCATTTCTTCTCAATTTAGACTGTGTGGGGACAGTAATTTGCATTTATCCCCCCAAAAGCTTCGCTATATTATTATTTCAATTGTGTTATTAAAAAAAAAATAGGAAAATGGTTAAATAAGGTTGATTGTGTTGAAATTATGGTTTTAAAAACTGGACCGGTGTTAAAATCAAAATTCAAATATAAGTTAAAATGTATATAGTAAAATAATGAATGGCAGTTAAAACTTAAAATCAGATATATGTTTTACTACGATATTGTATTCGCAAACAACTTTAGTTGAAATTAGGACTCTAAAATTCTATTAGAGAAGAAAATGATGGGAAACACTTTTGCCATCTACACTAGTCCAATATGATGTTCAATCATGAAAAGTTAAAATAATCAATTCAAGTATAAAAATTTCACTACATGTCAAGAACATAGTGTAAACCTTAGGGGAAATATTGAATTTCCTATAAGTTGATCTAACCATCTAAATTTAGTCTATGTTGCTTAATCATACATTTTTTTGTGCAAATTCGGACTTTTAACATGACAATACTTTTTGTTATGCTTGTTGTATGAAGTTATAGACCTGTGATTCTTTAATCCATCTTGAGCATGTTTATACACATGTTGGAGGTTCTGCCTTAACACCTATCTTCTTAGATGTTCCTTAAAAAAAATAACAATACTTTTCGATTTTTTGGTATAACGATTTTACTTTGTTTTGTTAAAAAAAAAATGACTCAATGTCAAATCCACATTTTTATAAACTAAAAAAGTTTTCACATGTCATTATAGATTATACACTTTTATACTATTAAAAGAGAGAAAATACAAAAATAGCAATGTCATGATTGCACCAAGATAAAGACCCATTACCATAACATAATATTCAATCAAAGCTAAGCTTTTACCATAATGTGGAATCGTGACAAGATTGAACCTTTCATTCAATTTTTTCTTTTAATAAAAAAAATTGACTTCAAACAAAAACTCAGCTAGTTTTACATCACTCTCAACATCATGTGTTGAAAAACTAACAAAAAAACAATAATTAAAGAATGTGGGCAGCAATTCATCAATTATTGAAATCAATCATAAATTTTCAATGATATTAAAAGAATTTCGTGCGGAACTCAGATATTAAGACATCTGATGGAGACTAATAAACATGTTTATAACAACTCTTATTAAGATAAGACTTTGCGTGTGCTCTTGATTCATAAAGCAAACTCCCATATTATTGCATTAGATTAAATATTTCAACATTAATTTTTACAATAATTGATGACAGTAGCATAAGCTTTGTACATCCTTTTTTTTTTTTTCCAATCATCCTTAATGAAAAGAACATGTGCTGATACAATTCAAGAAAAAAGAAAAACCCATTGAGAAATGGTTTTTTTTTTTCTTTGTGCCATTAGCTATGAAAACCTAAAGTCTAAGCTGTAACAGATGTCTCGACTGCAACACCCGAGTAGTTAACGTTGTTCGAAAGCTTCTCGGATTCCCAGAGCTCGGGTATAGCTTCCCGAAGATTGTGAATACTTTCTAACACATAATCTGCTCCTTTCACTCTCTGAGATTTACCGACCTGCAATTTTTTCGCGATTTTTAGCACGAACATCTGGAGTCTGATTTGGTATGGTTAATTACAAAAAGACCCTAAAACCTATCTCGTAAAATCACAAAAGTTGCCTTAACGTGCATTCAACTTGTAAAACAGGAAGTGACACCAAATTGAAAAATGGTAAAAATAATAATATCCANTAAAAGAACACAAAGATGAAATAAGAACATAATAAGCAATGAGGGAATCAATCAAGAATCAACCAAATGTCCAACAAATGCAAAGGATTTTACGAATAGAAGGTAAACTAACTTACTGTCCTTTGCGGATCAATGTTAGCAATTTTAAGAGCCTTTTCAATGGCACTTTCAGATGGTTTGCACACAACTGGGGTTTTTGGAAGGCTCGATGAATTTGCATCAGGACTTGAAAAATGTCCAATAATGTCGAAAATTTCCGAGTTACCGTTCGGAGGAAAGAATCCCAACCCGACAAATTCGGCATCATCTTCATCGTCTGATGCAGTAGTCTTGTGAGTCGGGTTAAGTGTTTCAAAACATATGATCCCTTCGAAACAATCCTCGAGACCGAGTCGACTCAGTGCTTTAACCGCGTGTACCCTATCAGCATTCGTGAAGATCTGTTTTCGCAATAAAGGGTAAAAAAAATAAAACGATTAACCATTTTCGAAATTTCAAGAATCAAAATGCTCTGCATTTGAAACTACAAAAGATAAAGGACTTACAACTTTGCGCATAGGCAAGCTTAACAAAAGGCTTCTCAAAACAGGGTCGGGTTTTAGATTTTCGTACGGCAATCTACCGTGAACAAAGCTGCAAGATTAAAAAAATCTTCAGTTTAATAAAAATCAAACATATCATACAACTTTAGTTAAGACAATCTGAAGTAAAATTCTTGGCATACCTATGATACTCATCATAGTCGAAATCATAGCCAATGGCCTGAACAGGAAAAATATCGAATGATTAATAATATTCTTCTAAATACAAACTCATCTAAATCGAGTCGTAAAATATTAGCAAATGTGGGGCTTATTACCCTTAGACCGGCCATTGTTGTGCCATAATTTTTATACAGTAGATCACATAAGGCAGGAATTTTGCTCTCATCAAGACCCAATTTTTCGATCATATAATCTGAAAAAAAATTAACCATTTACATGATATATATGATATATCAGACAGTGTGGGAAAAATATTTATAGTGATTAGGAACAGAAAGAGATGACTTTACCTTGGATGTTTTTAAGGACTGATGCTGCTAATCCGCAACTCAGAGGGTAAAGAGTGTCATCAAGATCTAAACAAAGATGTAAATTTTTTCATGTGTAAATACAATTAGTCACATACATATGAAGAATTGACTTTAACCAAACAATATGTGTGAAGAAAACAAATTACCAAACAGAAGGCAATCGTATTTCGGCCTCTGGACTTGTCCGTAGCAATCCTCGTATTCCATCGTGATCTACAGCAATTATTCGAGTAGGAAACTGAGCATGGATTAATTCAATTCTGCCAAATTTTATATGCAGATGTAAAGCCACTCATTCATGAGGTTTAAGTGGGCAACTGTATGCCAGCTCAATACAAAGTGGTCCAAAAAAATTAGAAGTTTCTTGAAGTTCTGCCAAAAACTTCCAGAAAGAAAAGGCAATATGAATATGATACAAAGGAGCAAATTAAGGAGAAAGCTCTGTATAAGAACAGTTAGTTCAATTAATTACAACA